CATTCCTGCTTTTGAGGACAGTTGCATCATGTGTACGGCTCTGTGAAAAGACCATGTCACCTCCCGCCCTGCCCGTGAGTTCAGATTTTTAATTTCCACAGGTTTCTTTGGATTTATTGTCTGAATACCTCCCTCACGTGACAGCCCTTATCTTTCGTAATGTCTGCAGGCCGGTGCCTTTAATATATAACCTCACAGCAGAGAAAAAGAAGGAGGACAAATTCCAGGAGGAGAAATGAATTGGCTTCACCATTCATTCTCTGCAAGACTTACTACAAAAACTGCATGAAGAGCGGCTGGCCAACCTTGCCATCCTGTCTCAAAATGAGACTCATTAAAGGGAAGCCTAAAACGTTCCTACTCCTCTTGAAAGTGTAAACACTTCTAAGCCCTTTAGTATTGAAGCATCAGTGGCAACTCAGGAATTCTCAAACCGAAGACCATTTTCTCTTTGTGCTTTGTGACTGCCAGGGTGTGGCCCGCATGGGGTGACACAGGGAGATGTGGCGCCGTGTCTTCCGTATGTGCATATATATGTACACACACATGTAAATGTGTGTGTACATATATATATTTTTAATTTAAGGGTCAGTACAGAATAAGCTATTGCAACACTGGTCTGAGGATGCAAAAAAATCTCCCAAAAGCCACCTCTGTACTCTCATGGATATAGTACAATAAATGAGGTCATGGAGCTGAGAGGTGCTTGGTAAACTGTGAAAGGCCATATAAATGAAAAGATGTTGGTGTTAATGAAAGGAACCCCGGTCTTACACTTGGCCCAGCCCTAAAGTAGTTGTCTGTCTCTGGGCAAGTTTCTCGAACTCTCTGGACCTCTGTTTCCCCGTGTTAACAGAGAGGGTTAAACTGGATAGAATATAGTCGATTCCCAATTTAGACATTTAGTGGTCCCGTCAGGCAACTGATCAGGCCAGCTTTAATTCCCTCTAGTAGAGGAGATGACAGTGAACAGTTTTTTTTAAACTACAGAGTAAGTATATGGTTTTGGGTTTTGCTCTAGTTGACTTTCAGTTGAATTCAGGTTCAAATAATCATCCTTTATTGTGCCATTACTGTGCTAAGCCTGGGCTGTAGGCTGAATGTTAAAGTGTTGATCCTAACCCCCAATCACAGCCCTCATAAGTGCAATTAGTGCCCTGGGAAGAGAGGCCCCAGAGAGCTCCCTCATCCCTTTCACCATGTGAGGACACAGCGTGAAGACAGCTGTCTGTGAACTAGGAAGCAGGCCTTCACCAGACACCCAGTCTGCTGGGGCCTTGACCTTGGACTTCCCAGCCTCCAGAACGATGAGAAATAAATTTCTGCTTATAAGCCAAACAAACAAACAGAAATAGCAAAAGAGGCCTCGCATCCAACCCAGTGATCTCACTAAAGGTGCACGAGCATGCATTTTACATAATGTGCAGCAGTCTTGCGTCTTCTAGTCTAGGCCGTGAATTGAGACTACTTTCTATCCTCTGCCCCCATCGCGTTAACCAAGGACACCTAAGAGCAAGAAGGCGGCTGTAAAGTCCTGAAACGCTGCTGAATGTGCATTTCCGCTCAACAACGTATTCGGGTTCTGAACGACTTCTCGGTGACTCCTGAGACTTAAAGCCGGGGGATAGGAGGGCAGATCCTGTGTTTCATTACTTACAACTGCACACACCTCAGACGCGCGTGACGAGCACGAACTGCATCATGAGGCACTAAAGCGTCAAGCCCAACACTAAGCGGCACGGTTTCACGGCCCGTACTGTTGGGAGGAGTAATTTTCGGTGCCGTGAAGCTGCCACTTGTTTCTACTCGGTGGAGGGGGTGCGGAGGGGATTTCAAAAGGACACAATCCATTTCACGTGTGGGTGAAGGCCCAGCAGCTGCCGGATCTCACCCTCCGCGCCGCACACCGGGCTCCCGGCGGGAGGACCCGGGCTTACCTGAGAGCGGCGGCCGGTCGGGCTCCTGGCCGCCGCGGGCGGGCGGCGCGGGGTTGAGCAGGTGCGCGAAGCTGGCGGCGAAGGGGTTGGCGGCGAGCGGCTCGGTGCGGTACATCTCCCAGAGCAGGTAGAGCGCCGTGAGGCGCTGCGCCGCGCTGGGCAGCAGGTCCGGCTGCTGCAGCAGCATGACGAGCACCGAGCCCAGGCGGAAGTGGTCGGCCTTGCTGAAGTAGTGGTGGAAGGCGGTGGACAGGCCCTCGAAGGTGCTGCCGCCGCCCGCCTCCTCCGAGATGATGCTCAGCAGGCTCGAAAGCTCCTTCGGGGTCAGGCTCATCCTGCACGCGGGGCCCCCCGGGCCTCCACAACCCGGCCCGGGGCCACCCGCTCCGCCTCTGCCGCCGCCGGAGCCGGAGCCTCCTGGCCCGCTCCTAGACACCGACCCCGCCGCTTCCCGGGCCCTCCTTTGCTCTGCGGCGGTAAGAAGACGGCCACACGCCGCGCTCGCCCCGCCGCCGGGCCTCAACCTCGCTCTCCTGTCCTGTTTCCGGGCCGCAGGGGCCCTGGCACCGGCTCGCTCCGTCCCCGCGGCCGTAAAGCGCGCTGTAGCACGACAGCGTCGCAAACAAAACCCGCCGGGAAGCCAGCCGCCCGCAGAGGAGAGTGTGGCGCGGACCCAGAGCGAGGCTGCTGGAGCCGGGCCAGGGAGAGGATCCCGAGACGCCGAGTGGGCGGGGCGAAAGCCGGAAATGGGGGTGGGGCCTGTGGGGGAGCTGCGGAAGTCTCGCGGTGCCACAGCACCACGCTGTGGTGCAGTCTGCGCATGGGCGAGCAACGTTCGTCCCTAGAGGCGTCCCGGGGGTTGTACCAGGCAAAGGAGGTCTCAAGAAATTTGGGTGACGTTATTGTCTGGAAAAATGCATCTTATAATCTGAAAAGTTGCGGGATTCCCTAGTGGCACAGTGGTTAGCAATCTGCCTGCCAAGGCAGGGTACATGGCTTCGAGCCCTGGTCTGGGAAGATACCTTATGCTGTGGATCAGCTGAGCCCACGCGCCACAACTACTGAGCCTGCGCTCTAGAGCCCGCGAGCCACAACTACTGAGCCCAAGCGCCACAACGAAGACCCAATGCTGCAAAAAAAAAAATCTGGTTTTCTTAATATAACACACCTGGCTGTTCATGGTGAAACCTTTTTAAGTGCTAATAGCTATAAAGACCACGCATTTCTCATTACCAAAGTTAATTTCCAGTCTTACACTCCTATTTGAGGAAATGGAATCATACGCACACGAGCTTTTGTACACGGTTACTTTAACAAGATTTTCGTAAAATGTTTCCAATATTTACAAAATTGTACAACTTTTTACCGCAGCCTGCCCAAGGGCGCTGATTCTTGGCCTTAGCTGTGCATTGGAAGTTCCCCGAGAGCCTTCAAAAATGCTAGTGCCTGGTCCTGGTGGCCAGGTATTAACAAACAGAAAGCAAAAACACCTGCCCAGGTGCCTAGTGTGTACTCTGGGTTGGGAATCACCGAGGGGCGTGTCCCAGACTTCCCCAGTTCCTCCCTTAGACCTACAAAACCCTACAGGGATTCCACCAGCGATTCCCAGCAGGCAAGTTTGGGAGATACAGTGTGCGCTAACTCATGCTAGTAGCTCGAGAATTATCTAGTTGCGCGCCCAGCAGGCAAGTTTGGGAGATACAGTCTGCGCTAACACATGCTAGTAGCTCGAGAATTATCTAGTTGCACGCCACCTTAATTCTAAAGTATAATTGAAGGAAGAGAAACTGCTGGGTCAAGGGGCATGCATATTCTGAAGGCTTCTTCCCTCGACTATTAGATATCCCTGTAGAAGGGTCCTGCCAGTTAACTAACAGCAGCAGATATAACTTGGTAACGCTTGGACTCCTGGGAAACTGATTCGAATTATCTTGAAAGTACTCTCATTTTATTTATTTACTATAGTAAATAAACTTTACTGTGTTTGGGATGTCTGTTACAGCAATGAGCTTACCTGCATAGGTTTTGCTGGGGTTTTTTTTAAGTTGTTTCAAAATATGTGAACATTATGTGCCCCACCACCCCAAAAACCTAAATATTTTTCTTTCTGTAAGAGCATTCTCAAAATTAGGTTGGTGTTAAAAAGAAAACCAGAGGCCCCAGATGGAGTCACTTATGCTAGGTCACGCTACTAACCTAACGGAAGCTTCACCCTCCCCCAGAAATGTAGTCTTAACCAGGAATTTTCTGGTCAGCACCAATGAGCTAATCGGTCACCATGCCCCAAAGGAAGATGAAGTAACCTGCCACAAAGATTTCTTCCATCCCCCATAAGTAGGTTACCTATGCCTGAAATAAAACTTCCTTGCTTAGACTTCTTTGTCTTGCCTTTGAAAACCTTCTTTTCTGTAGCCCTTGGGAGCTCCTCTCTACTTGCTAGAAGGGATGCTGCCCGACTCATGAACTGCTCAATAAAACCAATTAAATCTTTAAAATTTACACAGTTGACTTTTCGTTATTTAACAATGGTAATCCAGGGTTTCCTACGTGTTCCCCGAAAACAACTCTCAGGCCCTGGTAACAAATAACCACAAGCAGATCTGTCCTCTCACAGTTCTGGAGGCTAAAAGTCCAAAATAAGAGTGTCAGCAGAGCCAGGCTCCCTCTAAAGGCTCTGGGGAAGAATCCTTCCTTGTCTCCTCCTAACTTCCTGTGATGCCCAGCGGTCTCTGGCGTCCCTTGGCTTATGCTGCACCATTCCCATCTCTGCCTCTGCAGCCATGTGGCCTTCTTTCCCGTGTGTCTGTGCTTCATGTGGCTTTCTTATGGGGACACCAGTCAATGGGTTTAGGGCCCACCCTAATCTAGTATGTCCTCATCTTAACTAACTGCATCTGCAAAAACCCCATTTCCAAATAAGGTCACATTCTGAGGTGGACGTGAGTCTTGAGGAGACACCATTCCACCAGTAGAGACCCAAAGCTCTCCTGGGCATACATCCAGTCATACATAGCGTCCAAGGCCGACCATGATGTCAAAAAGTGGGTGGTGGCCCAATTTCTGGAAATCCCCACCCCTTCCCCAAAGTAGCTGGAATACTCCTCCCACTCATTAGCCTATGAACTTACCCATCCCTATAAAAACCGACAACCCCCATACCCTGGGGCTGCTCTTGCCTTCTGAGATGGCCCACGGGTCTGTGGAGTGTGTTTCTCTCTAAATTAATCCACTTCTTACCTATCACTTTGTCTCTCACTGAATTCTTTCTACATGAGACATCAAGGACCTGACCTTCATTAAGTCCTGAGGCCAGGTGTGTGAGCTCAGTTAAAAGAACGTGGGTTCGAGTCCCAATCTGGGTTGCACGGTTTCAGCTGGACTGCCAGGGAAGCCCTCGTAATCTCTTCTTAAAAAGACACCAATCATAGTGGATTAGGGCCCACCCTAATGACCTCACTTGAACTCAATTACTTCTTTAAAGACCCTATACAAATACAGTCACTTTCTAACTGGGGGTTACAACTCAACATAGGAATTTGGGGGGCAGGGAGGCGGAGGCAGGGGACAACACCACAACCTGTGACAAGAGGGAGCAGTAACTTTGGCATGAGGCAAGGAAATGTTTCATTGTCTCTTTGTTGGCTGCAAGAATCCCAGGAAGCTCAAAACAAAAGGGAGACAACTGAATAGGTGGCTCTCACCAAAGTTACACACAGGGAGGAGAGAGGCAGAGACTGGAGAGATGTTGCCAGAAGCTGAGAACATCTGGAGCCACCAGAAGCTGGAAGAGGCAAGGAAGCATCCTGGAGCCTGACCCTGCCAAAGCCTTTGTCAGCAGATAAGGCAGGGGGTCCCCAGAGAAAGAGAACCAGGCACGGCTTTCTTGACATAAGAAAAGCCATTTTGGTCTAAGCCACTTGGTGATCCTTATAAGCCTGGCCACAATGCTTGCCCTTTATAAGATATTTGTAACAGGTCTCAATAATCATTGATCTTAAGGAAAGTGAGGGAACACAGGGACAGAGGGAAAGCAGTCAAGAAACAATAGTTCAGCGATAAAACTGAGTCCTAGTTCCTCCTCAAGGAATATACGGAACAATCTGATACAGTCTCTGAGTTCTGCAGGAACAAAGCCCCCCTCCATCCCCTGGTGGAGGATGGAAGGATGACGTTGACCCTCTTGACTTCCACCAACTAAAGCCTGGACTCTGTCGACCTTTGCCCCAGTTCTATGCTGAGTTCTCTGCTCAAGCCCCTTCATGGATATGCATGTGCCTTAGCTTAAAACTTCCCAATTTTGCTGTTAGGGGAGATACTGCTTTGGGAAAGGTCCCCACTGTTCTCCTTACTTGTCACAAGTAATAAATGCTTCCTTCTCCCCATCTTTGGCTTGGTTGTAGCTTTTGGCTCGACACCTACCAAGAGGTGAACCCAGTTTTCGGGTAATATCTTCGTTTCAGACATCTAGCTTCCAAAACTGGGGAAATAAATTTCTGGGTTCTTTTAAGCCACCCAGTTTGTGGTACAATTAATACAATAGTCTATTGTGTGACTATATTACACAAGAATTTCCTTACCGATTCTATTGTTTGTGGGCGTGTAGGTAGTTTCCAGTTCGGGAAACTATAATGAATAGAGCAGCGCAGCGATGACCATTCATGCTGTGGGTATAAGCACTGACTTTTCTTGACTGCACACCCAGGAGTAGAATTCCTGGGTCACAGTCTATGTGCATGTTCAGTTTCCGTAAATTCTGCCAAACAGTTTTCCAAAGTTGATTGTACCAGCTTCTGTTTCCCTCAGCTGTCTATGACATGGTCACCAAGTGTGATATGGCAACTTATAATGAGAAATATTTATTTGGTCTTTGTCCTCATTCCTGGCACAGAGCTCCTAAAACCCTTGGAATACAACCACACCCGCGTTTATGTAAATGAGCTGACTTTTGGAAAGCCCAGAAAGGTGGGGCTTGTTGCCAAGGGAACCCACCAGGTGATTGGAGGGTTGGAACGTTCAGCCCCCACCCCAAGCTCAGGGGAGGGGAGAGGGACTGGAGGTTGAATTATCACCAACTGGCCAATGACTTAATCAATGATGCCTCCATAATGAAGCCTCCATAAAAACCCAAAAGCACAGATCTCAGAGAGCTTCCGTTGGTGCACGCAGGGAGGTGCTGGAAGTATGGCCACCCCTGCAGAGAGCACAGGAGCTCCGTGCCCCTTCCTTCATCCTATGTCCTAAGCATCTCTCCCATCTGGCTGTTCATTTGTGTCCCTTGAAATATCCTTCGTTATAAATCAGAAGTAGTAAGTAAACTGCTTTCCTGAGTTCTGTGAGCCATCCTAGCAAATTACTGAACGAAAAGACGGGGTCATAGGAAGCTCTGATTTATAGCCAGTTGGTCAAAAGCTTGGGTGACAACCAGGACCTGCACTCAGTGCGTGTAGTTTGGGGAGGCAGGGGTGGGGAGCAGTCTCACGCGACTGAGCCCTTAACCAGTGGGGTTTGATGCTAACTCCAGGTAGAGAGTGTCAGAACTGATTTAAATTGTAGGACGCCCAGCTGGTGTCTGCCAAAGAGCTGGAGAATTGCTTGGTGTGGAGAAAAGCTCCCCATTTGGAGTACAGAAGAATTCAGTGAATGAGATTTTCCTTACACCAACAATCAATATTTGCCTTCTTTTTTCTAGCCATTCCAGTGGGTGTGTGGCGGTATCGCATCGTCCTCTTAATTCTCACTTCCCTGATGACTAAGGAAGTTCGGCACTCCTTCCTTTGCTATTGAACATTTGGTGTTCTCTGTTGTAGAGTTCCCATTAAAGCCTTTGGCCCATTTTTGCATTCAGCTGCCTGACTTTTTCATATTGATTTGTAGGAGCTCTTTGTATATTTGGTATATGAGTCCCCTGTCAGATACAAGTATTATGAATATTTTCTCCCACTCTGTGATTGCTTTTTACTTATAAGTGGTTTCCTCTGGCTAAGTTCCTGAATTCTTGTTGCCAAATCTGGGGTACCAACACACACAGGACTTTATAAGATGTTTGTAACATGGTATAAAACCCAGCTGCTTCGGGGGGACTAGGCCCACCTCAGTCCCGAGTGTGGTCCAAGCAACGCTGAGCACGTCTAGCTGCTGACTTCTGCAGCTACACACCTTAAAGTCAGGGGAGAGGAGCTC